AAATAAACTGATACAAATGGACTTTTACCTAATTATCTGGGTCTCTACAGGTGAATTTTATGCATTTTGAAGCATTTTGATTGAATAAAAATTTACAGTATTAGTGCAGTTTTATTGTATCTGTTTATAAACAATATGCAAATCTTGCAGTGGGCATTGTGGCAAAGTGGGTTAATCTACTACCTGGAATGCCTGCATGCATATCTGAGTACCTGGGACTGAGTCCCATCTCTGCTTCCAAGCCAGCTTCCTGCCCATGTGCAAGCTGGGAAGCAGTAGATGGTGGCTCAAGTACTGGAGTCCCTACCAGCCACATGAGAAATGCAGATGGAGTTCATGGCTCTGGTTTCAGCCTGGCCTGGTCCTGACTGTTGTGGATATTTGGGGAGTGAATTGACGTATGAAAGATCTCTCTCTCTCTCTCTCTCTCTCTCTCTCTCTCAGATTTATTCATTTATTTGAAAGGGAGAGTTACAGAGAGAGACAGAGACAGAGAGACCTTCCATTCACTGATTCACTCTACAAATGGCCACAGTGGCAAGAACTGGGCCCAACCAAAGCTAGGAGCTTCTTTTGGGTCTTCCACGTGGGTGCAGGGGCCCAAGTACTTGGGCCATCTTCCGCTGCTTTCCCAGGTGTACTAACAGGAAGCTGAATCAGAAGTGGAAGGGCCAGGATTCAAACTGGCACTGATATGGAATGCAGGCACTGCAGGTGGCAGCTTTATCTGCTCTGCCATAGCAATGGTGGCCCCTCTCCAGACTTTCAAGTAAATAAAAACTTCTTTTAAAAAAACAGCAAGAATATATAAACCTTAGGTATTGCTGATGGTAGCACAGATTGGTAAAACTGTCCTGATTTTTGTTTTTTATTCAATAAGCAGAGGGACAGACCGACAGACAGACAGAGCTCCCATCCATTTATTCACTCTTCAAATGCCCGTAACAGCCGGGGCTGCACTGCAGCTGCAGCCCGGAGCTGAGAACTCAATCCAGGTCTCCCATATGGGTGGCAGACAACCAACTACTACATCCAGGGTCTGCACTGGCAGGAAACTGGGATCAGGAATAGAACAGGCATCAAACCCAAGCACTGCAATATGGCACACAAGCATCTCAAGTGGGATCTTTACCACTAAGCCAAACAACTGGCCCTAGTCCAACTAAAAGGCAGTGCAGTACATATGCCACAGTCTTCAAAATGTGCCTGTAATTTAACCAAGTATTTCTTATTCTAGGTATCTATTCTAAGGAAATAATCAGGGTCAGAGTTGTAAATAAAATTAAGATGCAAGAATGTCTACTATATCATGCCTTGTAACAGAAAAATATTAGAAAGAACTCTAATTTTCAATGAGTAAGGAAAGGGATCTTCAACTAGGATACATATGATATAACCTAATAAAGACATTAAAATTAGTATGTAGACGTGATTTCATTGATGCAGAAATACGCATTATATATCACTATATAATTAAACGTGTGTGATTAAACAAATTTTTTAAAAGATTTTTATTTATTTATTTGACAGGTAGAGTTACAGATAGTGAGAGACAGAGAGACAGAGAGAAAAGTCTTCTTTCCATTGGTTCACTCTCCAAATGGCTGCCACAGCTGGCGCTGCACCGATCCGAAGCCAGGAGCCAAGTGCTTCTTCCTGGTCTCCCATGGAGGTGCAGGGCCCAAGCACCTGGGCCATCCTCTACTGCCCTCCCGGGCCACAGCAGAGAGCTGGATTGGAAGAGAAGCAACCGGGACTAGAACACGGAGCCCATATGGGATGCCAACACCACAGGCGGAGGATTAACCAGGTGAGCCACAGCACCGGCCCCCATTAAACAAATTTTTATCGCACATCTGCTATATGAAAGATCATGCTAGGTATTGGGACACATCAATGAATTTAAAAGAAACAGTTCTTACCCTCATAAAACTTATGATTGGCCAGGGAATCAGACACTTAGAAGTTATGAGATCAGTAGTACAGAATACTTTGAAGAGTAGTCTAAGGCACTTGGGAATAAGTAGGAAAGGGGTTTAATCTAATCAAGTGGGGTCACAGAAGGCTCCCTCGAGCGGTGATGCTTAAGCAGTAATGAAGAATGAACAGGAGTCACACATGTACAGAGATGGGGAGGAAAAGGCATCCCAGGAAGCAGAGAAGCTTTTTTAAATACACATATTAAAAGACTACTGAACTGTGTATATAAGGTATATTATGCTAAAAGTATACTTTGTTCATGTACATATTTATAAATACAAAATCTGAAGTTATAAACCATACTGTCACCTAGATGGTGTAGCGTATGTGATTTTTCACTTTTTGCTTGCCTGCATTTTCTGATCTTCTTTTTCTTTAAGATCTGATTATTTGTTTGAAAGTCAGAGTTACAGAGAGAGAAAAAGAGATCTTCCATACACAGGTTCACTCCCCAGATGGCTGTAATAGCCAGGGCTGGGCCAAGTCAAAGCTGGCAGCCAGGAGCTTCCATCTACTTCCAGGTCTCCCATGTTGGTAGTAGGGGCCATTAGCAGGAAGCTGGATCAGAAGTGGAGAAGCAGGGACATGAACCAGCACCTATTTGGGATTCCATATGGGATGCCAGCACAGCAGGTTGTGGCTTTACCCGCTATACCATGATGCCGGCCCCATGATTTTTTTCTCTAATATATGCAAACAGTATATAAATGGCTGAGAGGATGAGTGAAAGTTGGAAGTCTGGGCTGATCATCACGTTAGACTACTTTCCTTCCTTGCTGTTCAGGTATTTTTCTTTTAAGATTTTATTAATTTGAGAGGGAGAATTACAGACAGTGAGAGGGAGAGGCAGAGAGAAAGGTCTTCCATCCACTGATTCACTCCCCAAATGGCCGCAAGGGCCAGAGCTGCACCAATCAAAAGCTAGGAGCCAGGAGCTTCTTCCGGGTTTCCCATGTAGGTTCAGGGGCCCAAGCACTTGGGTCATCCTCTATTGCTTTCCCAGGCCATGGCAGAGAACTGAATTGGAAGAGGAGCAGTCAGGACTAGAACCAGCGTCTATATGGGATGTGGGCGCCACAGGCAGAGGATTAACCTACCAATCCCTGTATTTCTCTTCTCTTCCTTCAATTACTGCAGTCCAAGACTGTGCCCAAAGTACTTCTATAAATTTCTAAAATCACGTTTTTTCTTCCTCCCTAGGGCACTTACATAACCTCTGAGGCAAGTTAACAAAATGTAAAGCCAATACTACAGTTCATTTCAATTCCAGAGAAATCTCTCTCTCAAGATTGGACTTTATTTTTTTTTCAGATTCATTTGTTTACTTAAGAGGCAGAGCTAGAGAGAGAAGGAGAGACAGAGAAAGAGGTCTTCCACCCACTAATTCACTCCCCAAATGGCCACAATGGCCGGAGCTGGGCCTGTTGGAAGCCAGGAACTTCTTCGAGTCTCCCACTGGTGCAGGGGTTCAAGCACTTGGGCCATATTTTACTGCTTCCCCAAACCATCAGCAGGGAGGCAGATCAGAATTGGAGCAGCTGGGACTCAAACCGGCACCCATAGGTGATGCCGGCATCACAGGCGGTTACTAAACCTGCTACACCACAGTGCCAGCACTTCAACACTGGGCTTTCAAAACCACACATAGAGTGACTGGCAGAGATAATTTTTGAAGGTACAGCTACATAACCATTCAAGACAAGATAAATTATTTTAAAAGAAGGAGATAAAGAAAAGGGGAACGAAAGGAAAACCTTACAACTCGAGTTAAAACTACTCCAAAGGGAAGGGGACTCAAAATTCCCAGGTAGTGAACTTGGCTGGTTTTCCAAGTTACCTTGTGAAATTACTGGACCAAGGCTGAGAGTAAGGCATGAGTGGTTTGGTACACTTAGCAGAGGCAAAACTCCAGGCTGAGACCACTGCTTCCCAGGATGAACCAAGGACACACAAGTGAGGAACTCTCAGAAACACGTACCAGATGTCTTTCAACAAGAACCACACTCGTCCATCTGTGTACTCTATTAGGAAAAGAGAGCCCATCTGGAAAAAAGGTACCTGCACTCAGCCACTCCCAGCAAGCTCACGTCCATTCTTTCAACTTTCATTTATTCCTCACCTCCTATAGTGGGCACTAAGGATTCATCAGTGACTAAGACATGTACTCCAAGTGCACAAAGTTCACATTCAAGTGCGGGAAATGTACCATTCACTCATTTAAAAAATACTGGAGTTCCTGCTATGTACCAGATGCTCAGGATACAGTAATAAGTGCAACAAGGTCCTGGTTTTCACTATATTCTAATGGAGAGAGACAAATAAAACACATCAACTACCAACAAAGATAATTTTCAGGAGCAAACATTTGGCACAGTAGTCAAGTCACCACTTGGGATACCTGCATCCCATATCAAAGTGTCTGGTTTGAGTTCCAGCTACTCCATTTCCAACCCAACTTCCTGTTAATGCTCACCCTTGGAGGTGCAGCAGACGATGGCTCAAGCACTTGGCTGCAGCCTGATCAAGCCCTGGCTGTGGTGGGCATTTGGGAAATGAACCAGAAAAGAAAAGATTCATTCTCATTCTCATTCTCATTCTCATTCTCATTCTCATTCATTCTCTCTCTCTCTCTCTCTTTCCCTCCTTTCCAAAATAAAATGAAAATACATAAATAATATTTTTAAAAGCAAGTCAAGTCTCACTCATTCACTGTGTGACCTTGAACAAGTCCCTTCCTTCTTTTAGCCTCAGCTTTCCCCATCTGCAAAATGACAGCTCAGAAGGCCTGGCAATGAGTCCAGAACACATTAACAAGCTCCCCTGAGTATGGGCTAGGAGCCACATGTCCAGCTGGCCTGGCTGAGACTTTGGTTCCACCAAGTCCTTCATGGTGCAAAGCACAGTGTCTGAAGATCCTTGAAGTGGATTTCACAGACTTCTCCCCACCTCATTCCACCACCCTCAATACTCTCCCAGTGGGGCTGCATCCCCATAACCGTGTTGTTTGCCCCTCGCCATACCTGTGAACATCGCACAGAAGTAGGGGCTGCAGGCTGCCAGGACCACACGGTGGGCTTCTATCTCGACATCTTCTGCCACAATCATCACGTCACACAACAGCTGCTTACTGTAAGACACCAGCGAGGGGAGAGGATGGGTCACAGCATGGACACCCACTTTCATGATACAAGGGTAGCTCCTCTCCCACCCAGATTCCACACTACCACATACAAGGCTCTCACAGACTGCTCTCCCTTGAGTCAGCCAGGAAGATGGACTCACTGACTTTTCTAAGTCCCTGACAAGTCTGACATTCATACTTTCCTTGGCCACACAGATTTATCTGCTCTGTGGCTGTAAATTCAGGGCTGCTTCAATTGTCTTCATCTGTTTGCTCCCCAATTCCATCAGCTCTGTCTCAGAACTAGGGGGTCAGAGATTCAGTGGCAACAGTTGCAACAGTGGCAAAAGCCTGGTGCTGTCAGTTGAGTGACTAAATGAATGCAAGGAACATAAGCATGCCACCGAGGTAGGCCACCAGCAAGATCAAGCACTAACCATTCCCCAAAGAATCCACTGCATATGCAGTTCTGACTATCATCATGAAGACTCCACCTGTACACATGTTGCCCCCAAAGGCCCTTTGCAAACTCCATTCACTGCAATTTCTAATACGATAACTACCTTTTTAAAAATATTTTTATTTATTTATTTAACAGGTAGAGTTACAGTGAGAGAGAGAGAGACAAAGAGAAAGGTCTTTCTTCCGTTGGTTCACTCCCCAAATGGCCGCCAAGGCTGGAGCTACGCTGATCCGAAGCCAGGAGCCAGGAGTTTCTTCCTGGTCTCCCATGCAGGTACAGGGGCCCAAGTACTTGGTGCATCCCCCACTGCCTTCCTGGGCCACAGCAGAGAGCCAGACTGGAAGAGGAACAACTGGGACTACAACCAGCACCCATATGGGATGCTGGCGCCGCAGGTGGAGGATTAACCAAGTGAGCCAGGGCGCCGGCCCCAACTACCTTTTTATATATGGGTCACCCACTAACTACACTGAACTTGGAAGGAGTTTGTCATAATTACTGTTGTATCCTAGAAACCTGGCTCCATATCTAGCACATAGTAAACCCTAAATCCATCCACATTTACAGACAAGATGGATAACTGACAGCTTTGGACACTGGTAAGAGTACCTCAAAGTCCTGTAAGCCCATGAATTTTTCTTTTATCAGCCTTCCAAGTTCTTATCAGACCTATTATTAATATAATAGTTAACATGTATTGAGTTATGTTTCAAGCACTATTCCAGGTACTTTTCTATACATATTATTACTTCATTTAGTCATATTATATTACAAATGAGGAAACTGAGGTCCAGGGAGTTAAGTAATATTCCTGAGGCCGTACAGAAAGGGAGCAGAGGAGACAGGATTTGAATTCAGGCAGCTTGACCCCAGAGCCCATGCTTTTTTAACATCTATGCTATCCTGATCACCAACAGTACCTCCTTTAGATTAGAACACTAGAGGTAGGAGGGAAGATGAGGAGGACAAACATATATCAACTGCAATTCACTGGCAGTGGTTACCTAGCACACTGTACTGGTTTGAGCAGTCTGAAGTCATGTCTGGGTTCCACGGGAAGATGTTGAAACCAAGGAATGAATCAGCCATGATTGACAGATCGAAGAGAAGCTACATATTTATCATCTCTAATACAGTACATTAAGTCACTGTCAATTACTAACTCATTCATTCCCGTTCACTTAGAGAAATAGAACCGTTAGATTCTGAGAAGGCTAGAACTACAAATGCTCTTAAGATCATATGCTCTATGAAACTCGGAGAGGTGAAGAAATACCCAGAGTCACAGAAGCCTAAGTCTTAAATCCAATTCTCCTAACTCCAGATGGTGTTTTTTCTTTTGTACCATAATGCCTTATGATTGGTTGACACTTAGAATGGGGAAAAAGAGAAGATAGAGAGAGGTGTTCAGAAAATGTTCAGCACAGAGAATAAGGTACCAGTGAGAGGGATTCTGGGAAGTGAGACCTTTGGGCACCAAGAGGCAAAAGCAAAGTGTTAGTACATCACCTTGAGGTGGACAGTGGAACCTGAACACCAACTTATAGGAATAAATTGGTGCGACCAGGGACAGAACTGGCTCTGCCCCTAACTGGCTTGAGAACATGGACAAAAAAGCTCAACTGTCTTAACTACCTTTGGGACAAATCTCATAGAGATCAAATGTGATTGCAGATGCCACCAGAGAATACATGGGTCAGATTCGTTGTAAAAACTTATTCCCAACGTGAACAGATTCACCATGGACATTTTCACTTCCATTACAGATCAACAAATTTAAAACCTACCATTTTTGAAAGAGTAAAGTCATTTCTTTTTTTAATTTTTATTTATCTTAGTTATATCTGACAGACAGAGAGGGACTGACAGAAATCTTTAATTCACTGGTTCACTCCCCAAATGCCCTAAACAGCCAAAACTAAGCCAGTTGAAGCCAGGAGCCCAGAACTTAATCTGGATCTCCCATCTGGGTGGCAAGGACCCAAGTACTCAAGCCATCAACTGTTGCATCCTAGGGCACACTTTAGCAGGAAGCTAGTTCACAAGCAGTGCTGGGACCTGAATTAGGCACTCTGAGGCAGGTGGATGTCCCAAGTACATCTTAACTGCTACGCCAAACAGCCACCTTAAGTAATCAGTAATTAATTTGGTAACCAATATTTTTAGAAAGGAAATTATTGACAAACGAGTCAAAATGGTGAACAAATTTTCAGTGCTAGAAGCTATAAATAGATGTCAGAGTGGGAAATCTTGACAAACCCAGGGAGCCTGACTGTTCTCCAACAAATAGGAAAAAGACAAGAAAGAATGGGGAACAAAGATGGAGAGTCCAATTAAGCAAATGAATCAGAGAAGTTCTGTTTTGTTTTTAAGTATTTATTTATTTGAAAGTCAGAGTTACAGAGAGGCAAAAGCAGAGAGAGAGAGCAAGCGAGAGAGAGAGAGAGGTCTTCCATCCGCTGATTCACACTTCAGATGGCCGCAATGGCCGAAGCTATGCCGATCCAAAGCCAGGAGCCAGGAGCTTCTTCCTGTCTCCCACACAGGTGCAGGGGCCCAAGCACTTGGTGCATCCCCCACTGCCTTCCCGGGACACAGCAGAGAGCTGGATTGGAAGTGCAGCAGCCAGCTTCCAAACAAGCACCCATGTGGGCGCAGACACTGAAGGTGGTGGCTTTACCTGCTACGCCACAGCACCGGCCCCCGGAGACGTTTTGATGTATAGGAAGTAAATTTCAAGGCCATAGAATTTCCAAACTGGAATTGGCCAAGAGAAACTTGACAAAAGCTCAAAGTGGGCTTTTCCTGGGGGTGAGGAATTCTGGTCACACACAGGAAACATCTCCACACATTCACTCCACACAGAAAAGGCAGAAGCAGCTCCAAAGCACTGTATGGCTCACAAGCTCTCCCATCTCACTTACCAGGGAGCCCATGGGATCCTTTTCTCTTGTATCTATGACGCCACTTCAAAGGACAGTCTTGGGGAGAGAAAAGTAGGGCTATACATCTCATCATTTGTGGATAAGTAGTATAGCTGTTAGAAAGGAGATACAGCTCTGAAATCAAACTGACCAGCGTTCCAGTCCCTACCCCAACACTCTCTAGTGTGGGCAGACAATGTCCCCAGAGTATCATAGAATTGAGATGTGTTATAAATGAGATAACATATACTGTTAATAGCAAATGTTTGGAAAATCTTGGATTGTTTTTATTTTCCATAAGACATTTCAGTTAAGATTAGAGATTAAATTTTGGACATAAATTGGACTGCCTATTGGACAGCTAAGTGAAGGTTATCAAGTAGGCAAGTGAACACATGGGTCTGGAGTTAACAAGTGAGAGAAGGCTAAGTGGTTGTGGGGAAGAGGAAGAACCAGCAAAAAAAAAAAAAAAAACAAAGGACTGTACGGTACTAACAATACTAACATAAAGATAGCTATAGAAATCAATAAAATACTTGTAAAATTGAGTCTAGAAATAAATCCTATTTATGTCAACTGACTTTTTTTTATATAAACTATCAAGATCATCTGACTGGGAAGGAGTAACTTTTCAAATGGTGCTGGGACAACTGGACATCAACATGCAAAAGAACAAAGCTGGGGGGCCGATTTCCTGCTACTGCGCCTGGGAAAGCTATCAAAGACAGCCCAAGGGCCTGGCCCTTGCAACCAGGTGGGAGACCCAGAGGAAACTCTTGGCTCCTGGCTTTGGCCTGGCCTACCCCTGGCCATAGCAGCCATTTGGGGAGTGAACCAGCGGATGGAAGACCTCTCTGTCTCTACCTCTCTCTGTAAGTCTTTAAAATAAATAAATAAATAAAAATCTTTTAAAAAATGAATTTAAAAATTCGGGGCCAATTCTGTGGTATAAAGGGTAAAGCCACCATCCATGGTGCTGGTTTGAGTCCTGGCTGCTCTACTTCCAATCCAGCTCTCTGCTATGGCCTACAAAAGCAGTGGAAGATGGTCCAAGTCCTTGGGCCCCTGCACTTGCATGGGAGACCCAGAAGAAATTCCTGGCTCCTGGCTTCGGATCGGCTCAGCTCCGGACGTTGCAGTACTTGGGGAGTGAACCAGTAGATGGAAGACCCTTCCTTCTCTCCTTTTCTCTCTCTCTCTCTCTCTCTCTGCCTCTCTTTAACTCTGCCTTTCAAATAAAATAATCTTTTTTAAAAATTTAAAAATTTGTACTTGAAAGGATACCATCATGAAGATGAGAAGGCATTACACAGATTAACAGAAATTCTGCCAATCATCTGACAATGGGCTTATATCTGAAATATATGAAGAACTTGAGCTCTTACCACTCAACAATAAAGAAAAACAATTAAAGATAGGCAGGGGGAAGGGACATTTGGCACAACAGTTAAGACACTGCTTGGGACACACACATCACATATCACAGTGCCTGTGTTTGCATTCCAGAACTATTCTGGTCCCAGCTTTCTACTAATGCATACTCCGGAGACAGTAGGTGATGGCTCAGGAAGTTGGGCCCCTGTCACTCACATGAGACACCTGGACTGAGTTTACAGCTC